ATACACACACACACACACACACACACACACAGAAGAGCTACAGCAGTCTGATAGCTTGCTTCAATGCAGATGAAAAACTGGTTGTAGCCCAAGTCTCCCTCTAGGCTGTTGGACATTCAAGAGCATGGTCAGCCTTGTTTTAATTTTCTTCAGTTCAAATATGAACTTGCAAGTAGGTAATTGATAATCTGTTCCGAAGTCAGCAACTGGCCTGTTTTTTTACTATTGATACTGACCTCCACCAGTCATTCTCTCCATAGATATAATCTATCTAATTCCTTTGCAGTCCACCTGATGAGGTTCATGTGTAAAGTCACCTTTGTGGTTTTAAAAAGGTGTTTGTGATAAGTTAAGCTTTGGAAAATAAAAAAGAAAAAAAAAGGCAGGGTCAGCATTTTCTTCATGTCTGAATAGCCTCAATGCCTAGGACTGTGTCTCAATCTTCTGAAGAATCTCAAGTGATTTCCTTAAGGAAAGTAAGATTAGAAAGAAAGGTCAGGAAACCATAGAGGAAGGACATTGGTGGCATGGCTTATGAAGCTGCCCCCACAATCCACCTCCGTGAAGCACTACCCCCTCCCTGTTCCTCCTCTGACACATAGCAGATTCAAACAATGTATGTCTCATTGTTTACATAAATGTATTTTGTTTTAGAAAAATTGTTGACATCCTTAATAACCAGCAGAAAAATTGGAGCCAGCTCTGTGCCTAGTAAGTCTGATTTGTTTATGTTTTAATTTGGACTAATTGGAGAGGGAATCAGTCAAACAAATACAACATATATTTAAATATACCCATTTAATGAAAACTACGGCAATAAGTGTAACTAACAATATGCTGCATCCTGGAATGAACAGTTTTAAATTATTTTGTATATTTGTATTTTCTTTTAAAAAATAAACTGAATCCTCACCGGAACTGTTAAATTCCTTTTTTAAACAATCACTGATAAGAGTATTAAAAGAATCTTGTCAGGTGGGTTTGCTGCTTGTTTAGATCATGTATGTTCCGTGTGGTTAGATATTTCTAATAAATAAAAGGAAAGTTATTTATTTACCTTGCAGATGAAGGACATTTGTGTGCAATCTATTATTTTCTATGTTAAATCAAGTTCAGGCATAAAGAGTGTTCTTAATGTACATTGGATCTTTTTCTTGCTGCTTGTATAATTTTGCTTCATTAAGGAAGTTTTGAGTTCGTTAGATAACCTGGAATAGCTTTTGGACCTTATAATTTAATAAACTCTGTATGACTTCTCAACTGTAATTGACTCATCTCTAGAATAATGCTAATAGAAGTATATAGCAGGCTACATAGGTAGTTTATATGTTTTCATAGTTAAATTAAAAACTGAAAAGGTGATTTCATATAATTTAGATTAAAGAAAATGCATTATTTCAACATATATTAAATATTGTTAAATAAATGGTTGGCTACCCAATGCGGACTGAGAGCGGGGTGGAGCTCCCCAATTAAACAAGCGCGGAAGGAGGAGTGGCATCCACTTCCATAACAGCTTGCCTCGGGAAACCCTATGAACTTGGAGAAAGAATGAAAGGCACCCAAGCGTCAAGGACTCTCCTTCATAAGGTCGCTATGAGTTGACTGCTGACTCGACTCGACAGCACTTAACAACAACAACAAACAACATGTCTCTTTGAGGGGTTAGGGCTTAGCCAGAGGATGGAATTTCCAAGCTAGTGCTACTAATGCCAAGGAAGACTTTTTTTGTTAAAGGCAAAAATGGGACATTAATTTGGACCTGGGTAAAGTAATTCGTACCTATTCATTACATAAACATATTAAATAAATGCTGGCAGCCTTCTGAAAAACTCTCCTTTAAGAAGTAGTTGGGGAAAGAAAACAATATTGTCATATCATGCAAGTGGCAAAAATCCTGTTTCTTTGGAGGAAAAGGGTTTTGAAAGTAGGTCTGCAATCTAATTAGACAACTCTAGGTACATTTACCTGTGCTACAAATACATTTGCATAGAGCCATATGTCATTTTTATTACTAATTTTAATGAACACTTACAGAGACTTTGGATTTCCATTCATTCATTGTTCCATTTTTTTTCTGCCCACTCTTCCCCCCTTCACTCTTCTATTTGAAAAGTAAAAGAAAAATTTTTTACTGTTAGACAATCCCTCCCCCCAAGTCCACTCCACTCTGCAGCCTTCATTCTGGACTCCTGTCATGATAATAATACCTGATCATATGTAATTTTTAAACAGTTCTCTCCCTCATCTGTTTTAATGCACTATACATTATTTATTCCCTTTCTCAGTCTCCTCTCAACCCTGATGTCAGTCCCGTTTTACAACAGTGGTACTATGCAATATTTGTCTTTTTGTGACTGAGATATTTCACTCTGCATAATGTCCTCCAGGGCCATCCATTTTGTATAATATATCATGAGTTCTTTATTTTTCAAGGCCACATAGTATTTCCTTGTGTGAATATACCAGAGTTTCTCTATCCACTCTTTTAGAAAGAATTAGTATGAGAAAAAGAACCACTGTGTTTCCTAAGATCTTCTTTAAGTCCCTCCTTAAGTATATCCATGTTCCCCCAACTCAACTATTTACTTTAAAAGTGGAAATAATTCATGACTTGGTTTATTTTAAAGATGATAATGCTCTGACCAATACTTTTATATGGCATTAATTTTACTTCATTAATTTAATATTATTTTTTAATAAAGATCTTAACCAATAATCAAATTTTGATTGTTTTAAGGACAACCAAATTAATCATATATGTGTATATAACATTAGTGAATAAAATCTTAATATATTTTCTAATAAGTCTGTAAGTATCTTTTCTTACCTTCAGAAATAATAAAAACTCTTTATTTTAACTCTGAAAATATTTCAGTATTCAAATTTCTTGTTATTTTGTGAAGTCAGAAATTTCTGTTATAGTGTTAACGGCAACACAAAGAAAGAATCCAGAACTAGAACCCTGGACCAGTAACTTCTAGCCCAGATCACCTTTGGCTACTCTGCCATACTAAAAAGTCATTTTTCTCAATGTTTAATGCAAAATTATAGTTAGTCATAATCAACTATGTTAATTCAGACCTGACATTGAGTATTGTTTATATTCTTGACACTATTTTGACACACTGAAATGAAACATTCACTCCTGAATTGATCCTAATAGCAATACTATGTGTGCTGAGTCAATCTACTCTTCATATACAGAGTTTTCAAGGCCTTCCAGAAACAAATCACCAGGGTTTTCTTCCAAGGTACTTCAGAGTGGGATGAAACCATCTCCCTTTGGATAAATAGCCAGGATTTTAATGGATTGTGCCACCCAGGATTCCTACATTAACATTATTGTTGTGTGTCCTTGTTTTAGTTTCCTGGTGCTGCTCAGGATTAGAGCTAGGCTCATCAACAATCTACATTATGCAGATGGCACAACCCTGCTTGCTGAAACTGAGGAAGACTGAGGCTCAAGGACTGAAGCCTTCAGTATGGATTGAAGCTCACATCAACAAAACAAAAATTCTCACCACTGGGCCAATTGGCAGCATCATGATAAATGATGAAGATATTGAGATTGTTGACCGCTTCAATTTGCTTGGCTCAATAATCAACACTCTTGGTACCAGCAGCCAGGAAATTAAAAGGCAAATTGCATTGAGAAAGTCTGCTGTCAGAGACCTCTCCAAAGTACTGAAGAGCAATGATGTCAGTGTGGAGACTAAGGTGCACCTGATTCAGGTCATGGTCTTTGAAATTACTTGCTATGCGTCAGAAAACTGGACAATGACTAGGGATAATAGAAGGAGAGTTGCTGCCTTTGAGCTGTGGTGCTGGAGAAGAGTATTGAATATACCATGAACTGCTAAAAGAGCAAACAAGTTCTTCCTGGAGAGGGTGAAGCCAGGCTACTCCTTGGAGGCAAGGATCTTGAAGCTACTTCTGACATATTTTAGACATGTTGCAAGGCAGGATCAGTCCCTGGAGAGGGACATCATGCTTGGAAGGATGAAGGGACAACGCAGGAGAGAAGACCCTTTATGGGATGGATTGATTCACTGGCATAATGGGGATAG